ACTTTCCTTTGTTGCGCTTTCAATATTTCTCCTGTTTTGATTTCTTCTATCATTTCCCAGATGCTTTTTTTATGCAATATGGCTTTCATCTTAATTTCAGAACTAATTAGAATTTTATAAAGAAACGAGGTAAATGGCTCCTAATACATTGTCATTTTTCCTACAACTCTTTCCCAGACACTAACATTTCTAATTAGTGTGTTTCCGAATGTATGATGAAGAATTCTTCATTTTACCTTAATCCCTAATCGGATACCAGCAACATCACTCTGGGTTAATTGTTCACTTCACAGTCTTACCGTGACTTTCTTTACAAATGTTAAAGCTTCCTCTCAGTCACAAAAGTACCCACACTGCACGACACGCTGTTATAAAGCAGGACTGCCATGGGAAGGTGGGGGGGAATGGGAAAAGGGTGGCTAGGTAGTGGGCATAGCACTGGAACAGAGGCGGGGCAGACCTCTCCAGAGGACTGGATGATTAGGCTTACGTGGATGACACAATCTGGAACAAGAGGTGCATTGCCAAGTGGACGGAGAGTGGGGGAGGGAAGAAAATGTACAATAATTAATGAATAAAAATGATTTCTTAAAAAGTTGTGGAAGTTGTAAAATTAATTTGAAATAGACCCATTGTCCTAAGAAAAGTGTTATTTCCTCTTACTCTCAGCGAATACCTCGCAGAGGTCTTTTCATCCTGGTAATGTTTTTAGCGTGATATTCATGTTGTTTGGCAGTTCAGTACATGTTTCCTTAAATTGTTTTCCAAAACTTTGGTCAGAAAATATAGGCAGGGGTGATAAGGTGGCTTATAAAAATTAGTTCTCTGCCTCTGAATAGGGGAAGTTGTTTTCCAAAACTTTGGTAGACAGTTCAACATGAATACAGAAGGAGGAGAATTCACTGTGTTCTCCTAACGTTTCCTCTATGCAGGATCCTTTATTGCACCTTTAAGTAACTAATTAAAGTGTATGTGCAGCACACTTTCCACCAGTCTTATAAGCCTGTCACTCTCAACGCCCTCTTCTCTGGCCACTAGTCAGATGGGAGTGGTCTTGGGAGTTGTGGTGCTGCAAACGAGCACAGAATTTCCCCTGGACTGCCAGAGAACCAACAGGTCTTGGAAAAAGTGAACCAGAGTGCTCCTGGAAACAAGGATGGCAAAACTTCCTCTCCCGTACTTTGGGTATGTTGCTAGGAGAAGTTAATCTGTAGGAAAAGGGGACATTATACTTGGGAAAGTGGGGGTCAGTGAAAGAAGGGAAGACCCTCAGTGAGGATTGACAGTGACTGAGCAGTGGACTCGAGTGTGTCAGAGATGATGAGGAGAGGACAGAGTTCAGATCTGCTGTTCACAGAGTTGCTGTGAGTCGTACGCATCTAACTACAGCAGTTCAGTTTATTGGCTTTGCCCGTTTCTTTCATTTGAAGTCTCACTTTAAAACAGTCTTGTATATTTTCCCAGCACCATTTGCAGAAAAATCTCACTTCATAGTGGCACCACCAAGTTATTTTCTGTGCAGTAACTCTATATTAAAGCATACATTTTCTTCCACTCAGATGCTCATTTTTGTTAACATTTCCATTTGTGAAAACAGTGTAAACAAAGTACGATACACAAGTGTTGTTTAAAAAACAATCCTCAACTCCATTGCTGTTGAAACGGTCGTGCCTCATAGCTGGCCGTCCAGTGAGTTTCTGAGGCTGTGAATCACATGGGAGACGACCGTGTCTTTTCTCCTTCGAAGCGGCTGGTGGATTGGACTTGCCAGAGAGCTTCCGCTTCGGGATTGGCACCACAGCTCTGATTGGTGTTTTGATTGCTGTCATTAGATGTCATCAGATCATCTCTGACTCAGCATCCCTGTCTACAGCAGAACAAAACACTCCCGTCATCTGCCTCTCACACAAGTGCTGCTGCTACCCAAAAGACTGATGGTTCGAATCTGTGGGTACCATCACTGTCAGTCCATCTCCTTGAAGAGTTCCTCTTTATTGCTGATCCTCCGTCTCTCCGAGGATGACGTCCTTCTCCAGGGACCAGCCTCTCCTAATAACATGCGCAGAGTGCCTGAGAGGGGTGCCTCCCTACCTGTGCTTCGAAGGCGCGGTCAGGCAGCACTTCTTCAGAGACAGGTTCATCGGTTCTTTTGGTGAGCCATGATGTCTGTATGTCAGCAGTTCAAAGGCATCAGTTCTTGAGGTTTCTTTGTTCGTCATCCGTCTTTCACATGCTTAGGAGGTGATTGAAAATGCCTCGTGTCAGGGCAGGGTTCAGAGCTGCTCAACATAGGGTCACTGTAAGTCACAGGTGACCCGACAGCACATAACAGCAGTGGCGATGGTGTGTGCCGTTGAGTGACCGACCGACAGCGACTCGCCAGTGGGTTTTCAGAGGCAGTAATCACACGAGAAGAGACTGCTCACCCTTCTCTGCGCAGCTCCTTTCTACTAGGCCACCAGAGCTCCCTTCCTCCTCAGATAGCACATTTGAGTTGAATGGAATCACCAAAAATTACATCCTATTTTCTATTTCTTGAGTTTAAATATCACACTTTAAAAATGTGAATAACTTAACTCTTAGAATGTTTACACTCACCTAATGGGTGTCTGTTCACATGGAACTTAATGCCCCGGAATCAACCCTTTCAGGTCTCAGGGGCCGTGAGTCCTCTGAGTGACAGCAGTTGCCACCAGTCGCTGCAACCGTGCACCTTTGGCTCGCTGACTGGTGTGTCCTTGTCATCCACGCCCATGGGAAGCATGCGCACTAGATGCAGACCAACAGAAATGGCCCAGTGCTCGTGCTTAACAATGCCAAGTTATCTTTGAGTCAAATTTAAAAAAAAAGAAAGCTGACACTCAGTGGGAATCTTAACAGGAAGAGACTGCTGACCCTTTTCCCCCAAACAATTGGGTTTGGTTTTGTTTTCTTCTCTGCCCACTTTGAGTCTCCCTTTCACTCCAGTTTGGGGGTTCTGTGAGCTTCTTTTTGGGTTTCTGTTCTCTGTGGCGCGAAGCCCTCTCTCCAGGCTTCCTTAGGCCTCCCCTTTGCTCAGGATCAGGTAGATGTGTCCGTAAGGCCCCGTGAGCTCGCACCCTCAGCAGTCCCGCGTTCCGGAATCCTGGGGCCCTTCCCTTCGTGGGCTTCCAGTTGGTGGTCGTTCCTGCCAGGACTGAGGATTTTGCAAGAAAAGGATCTGATTGTCCTACTCGGAATCTGGGTTTGACAGTAAAACTGTTTCAGCTCTGTAAAAACAAAGTGATGAACTGTTACAGGGGTGTCACTGCTGGAAGAAACCCTGAACACTCACGAGGCTTCATGGTGCTAGGGCCGGGCCCGCTGCTGGGCTGGGAGGTCTCTGCAGGCTTCTCATGCTCTGCTTCCAGGGGTGGCGGGCTAGTCTCTGTTTTAAGAAAGTAGATAGAACTGGCTCGAGGAGGCGCACCAAAGCCACAAGGTAGCTGCCAGCGCGGGCAGGGAGATGGCCCAGGTACTGGCCCCGGTCCGCCCCTCCTCCTTGTTCACCTCCGCTAACACTTGTGCCCCTGCTGTGTCATCTGGCGCACTCGCCCACTCGGGCCTGGCCCCGTTGGGGTTTCGGTAAGCAGGTCGCCAAGAGGTAGGGCGCTCTGGTGACTTAGTCCATAACGAGTTGCACTGCTAACCTAAAGGTGGCCAGTTGGAATCCACCAGCAGTTCTTTGGGAGAAAGACAAGCATCCTCCCATGTAGTGTGCAGCTTCCTAAAATCTCGCAGAGCGTTCAGCTACAAATAGGCTGACTCGGCGGCAGTGAGTGGCTCGGCAGGAGGCGGGCCGTGGCACAGTGTTTCATCAATTACCTCTTCGTTTCAAAAGTTGTTAGTGTGGACCATCAAGTAGGAACCTCCAGTAGGTTTTCAGAGGCAGTGAAATGCATGGGAGGAGACTCAGCTGGTGGATTTGAACCACTTGTCTTTGTGTTGGTAGCAAAATTCCTTACCCATTAGCCCATGTGAACACCCTAATTTCAGAAGTAACATTTGATTATTATAGAAAAAGTCTAAGTGTATGGTCCCTGTTTACTGGGGGAGCAGGGGGGACACCATACACCCTCTGCATGACTAGTTACCGATTGGTTGGTTTGTGATCCGGAAGGGTTGCAGGAGGTGATCACCCAGCCTTTCTTCCACTTCTGTCCTAGTCTGGAGGCTCTGCTGAAACCTAGTTAGCATCATAGCAACACAGATGCCTCCCTTGACAGGTGTTGGTGACTGGGCATGACATACCCTGCAGAGAATCGAGCCTGAGCCTCGCACACGGGGCTGGAGAATTCAGCTGTTCAGCTGCCAACAGTACCAGAGACTGTGGTCTGTTTTCTTCAGTTTTGGTTGTGTGGTTTTTTCTGACCTAGTCTCATCTTTAAAAATCTAGTTTTTAAACTGTGTGTATGTTTTATAGGTACAATTCAATCACATTGTTTACACTGGTATTACATAAGTATCACTCCTGTTAGCAAAAATGCACTGAGGCCTAGTCTTTTTTTAATCCAGTCAGATTTATTTGGAGGCCCTGGGGTAAATGAATAAGTGCCTCTGGTGGTATTGTGTTAGTTGCTGCATTGCAAACGAAAAGGTCAGTAGTTCAAATCCACCAGCTGCTCTGCAGGAGAAAGAGAAGCCACATCTTCCCACAGTGATAGAGAGCCTCAAAAGCCCTGGGGGGATCCCTGTGTGTCAGAATTCATCTTTATTGTTTTGGGTGGTCAAGATGCTTCATATCTCTGCTGCAAACTGAAATATTGGAGGTCCGAGTGCACCCGAGGAAAGGCCTGGCAGTCTGCCTCCAGAAACGCAGCCTTGAGAATCGCGGGCACAGCTCTGCTCTGAAGCTGGTGGTCCACCAGGAGCTGGAGCTGCCTCGGCAGCCACTAGCTAATTAGTTGAGATTATTTACAGTCATTCTCGAGCTTCTGCTTTCTCTCAGCCTATTCACCAGTGTCCGCGTGTTCCCCCGACAGGACACAGCTTGGGCTATGGCTTTGTGAACTACGTGACTGCAAAAGATGCGGAGAGAGCGATAAACACGCTGAACGGCCTGAGGCTCCAGTCCAAAACCATTAAGGTAAAGTGACCCCTTCCAATCCTTTGTCTGTTCCATTTCAGGCCCTCCTGTCCTGGACAGGAGGACGAGCTGTCCCGTGGCCCGGCCAGTCCTCAGAACCTGGGCTTCTTGGGCTCTGTGGCCGCACATCCTTTAGGAGCATTTTGTCTGGTGTGCGTAGCAGTGACTGTCCCTAGCCTTAGGCTTGTGGCCCCTGCCCTCACCAGCCCTGCCCTCCTCCCTGCCCCGTGCTGTTCCCCTCCTGCCCCCAAAGGCTGGCCAGCCCCTCCCTCCTGCTGCTTACACCTGGGTTACTGTCACGGCCCCACCTCCCCGTTCCACCTGGTCTCCCTTTCCGCTTCCTCACAGCCCGTGTGACCTTCTCAACCTCATGCAGTGCTCATTGGAGCGCCTGCTGTGTGCCAGACCTGGAACCAAACACACAAGACCCTGAGAGCGGAGTTGGGGATTGGTGCAGACAATAAACAGAAGTCGTGTGCAGCGGAAGTGCCAGGGGCGGGGGGACTGTGAGGGCGGGGGACTTGTAAATGGAGATCTCAGGAAGTGAGGGGGCATGCCCTGGCAACACGACCCTCGGCCTACTCCCCACATCAGGGACTTCACTCTCCCAGTGACACGTTAGTGAGATCTCTCCATTTTTTCCTGCCTTTTTAGTCACCTTCACCATTCTCTCCCTTCTAGTCATGGTTCTCCGCCTAAAGCCCCACTGCCATCACCCCCTCCCGTCCCCAGGTATCTGTCTGCCAAATCCCTGGAAGCTGTCCCTCAGGTCTGCCTCAGGGGAACGCTGTTTTTCACTTACCAGTCTCCAGTCAGTCCTGGCACCACTGTGCCGCCTCCCACAGCAGCCTCGGCAGCTCTGTTCCTCGGAGGTCACTCTCCACAGGGCCCACCCCACACTGTTGCTCTGACACCTGCCTTCCAGAATGATCTCCCTCAACGTTTCTGAGCTGTGGAGTGCCCTCGGCCGGCCACTGCAGTCACTGTACACAGGGTAGCAGTGTACCCAGTAGAAGAGTCGAGGTCTGAGCCAAGGGCTTGGCAGGGCCTGCTCCTCCCATGGCTTTGCCCCTTAGCTCCTGGAGTTACCTCTAGCGGTCTGGGTGTCCCATAGCTTCTCTGCCTTTGTGGTCACAAATCTTGCTCCTGTAAGGACACCAGTCATTGGATTAGAGCCCACGTTAAATCTTGAGTGAGTTCATATGGAGAACTATCTTAATTTAAAAAAGAATATCACGCACTTTCTCATTGCCTTCAAATTAGAACAGAACCAATTCATAGCTGAGCCTCCAGTGAGTTTTCTAAGGCTGTAAATTGCACAAGACTGACTTACCCATCTTTCTCCCTTGGAGCTGCTGGTAGATTCAAACTGCCTCTGGAATGGGAACACAACTCCCTACCTGTCAGGCCACCAGACCTCCTTACAAAGAAAATCAGTGACCATCAAGTCAGCCATGACTCGTGAATACACCATGTGTGTCTGAGCAGAACTGGGTTTTCCATGGATGGTTTTGGAAGTAGATTGCCAGGCCTTTCTTCCAAGGCTCATCCAGGTGATCACAAGCTTCCAGCCTTTCCATTAACTCCTGAGCAGGTTAACCATTTGCACCACTAAAGGACTTCTTGTTTCTCACAACTGTAAGATCTTAGTTCTTACTATTGTTGAGCATGTTAACCATTCGTACTGCTAAGGGACTTCTTAATTACACCTGTAAGTTCTTCCTAGTTCTTAACACCTATAAAAATGTATTCAAAGCAACCAGCAGGGCTTAGGCCTTGGTCTTAATCTGAGGGCACACAGTTCAGCCCACTACTGCAGCCTTTGAGTGGTCCAGATCCCCGGGCTGTGGCAGACACCCCGATCATCAGCAGGGATCGCTTTTAGGATCTGTACCTCAGCTCTCTTCCTACACTCCCTGGATTACCAGGACCACACTGGGTGCTTGTTTAAAATCCAGGCTCCAGCTCAGGCCTCCTTCAAGTGCCCCTGAGAACTTGCATTCTTGCTGGCTCCCACATAAGTCCTTACAGTCTTGTCTATAGAAGCCACATACCCTTTGGAGGCTATATGATCTTGAGCTCTGGACCCAGTGAGTGCTCCTCGGGGACGATGGTACACTCCTGATATCCAGCACAGAATCTGGAAGCCTCTTTCAGAAACAAAGGCTGAGGAGGGCTGTCCCACATCACCTGTGTGGTGATAACAGTCCTTACCCCCAGCTCATTCATTCCTGGCCCAGGGTTCCATCCTTCAGGACTCCCCCTTCTCATCTGGAGGTGTCTGTGATGCGCTGCTTTCTGAGGCTGGAGTGCTAATGCCTAAAGCCGAAAGTTACTCTTAACCTGGCAGTTCTGCTCATTCAAACGTAGGCACCCACCATCCCTGTACCACCTGGGTGATGCTGAGATTGATACTGACACTGTCAAAAATCCGGAGTCTCAGATGTCACATTGAATCTCCAACAATGTGTTAGAATCTTCACCCTGTGGAAGGAAGCTCCAGTGGCCTAGTCCACAGTGTGTATGCCGAATATTTCTGGTGGTTGAAATTCACTGGCAGCTCCTTGGGAGAAAGATGGGCAATCTCCTCACATGTGGTTTGGTGTGGGAAGTGCCATCAAGTGGAGTATGACTCATAGTTACCCTGTGAGCAACGCATCTGAACACTGCCCATTGCCGCATTCACTGTGTCAGTCCCCGGCTGAAGGTCTTCTCTTTTGCCGTCGCTTCACCTTCCCCAAAATAATGTCCCTCTCCAGTGACTAGTTCACAGCCTTGAAACCTACTGGAGATAAGGTATGAGGAAGTCCACTTCCAAAACAGCTTGCCTCCGGAAGCTCTATGAACTTGGAGAAACGATGAAAATGATACAAGTGTTCAGGTCTTTCATTCATGGGGTCACTATGAGTTGTCTACGACTTGACAGCACTGAACAACACCAACATAGAGAGAGCGCTGTTGGCCTAGTGGATAGAAGGTTATGCTACCAAGCCAGAGGTGGGTGATTTTAATCTCTGGCCCTCAGGCCTGCTTTTAATTGGTTTTGGTCAAACATGCTTCTAAGTGGAATAGCACTGATCTGTCCATTTTTCTGTATAGAGGTAACTCGTGGTTACTGTGATGCTAAACACTGTGACACTGATGTGTCAGATGTGATAATGGTTACCAGTGGTGGACAGTGTTTGGTGGAGCTCCCTGATTAAAACAAGCTTGGAAGCAGGAATGGTATCTACTTCCAAAATAGCTTGCCTCTGGAAACTCTGTGAACTTGGAGAAATGATGAAAGTTATACAAGTGTTCTGGTCTTTTGTTCATAGGGTCACTCTGAGTTGTCTAGGATTCAACGGCACTTAACAGTAACAAGTCTCCACTGGATGGCGATGAGTGTGACTTACGGATATAATCCTTTTTGGAGCTAGGATTTCTTTTGCTATGTTTATGGGATGATGTCAGTATTGTTAAGTGCCTTTGAGTTGAGTATGACTCATAACAACCCTATGAGCATCAGATCTGAACCCTGTCCTATGCTGTGCCATCTTGTCAGGTAAAGGTGACTTAAACCTAGTCACTTCTGAGTTATAAGAAGAGCATATTGGACACAGAGGGAAGCAACCCAAACCAAACCTACTGTCAGCTGAAATGAATCATAGAAAACCTCCGTCAAGTTTGCAAAACTTTAAATAGTAGGAAGAAACTGCTCATTTTTCCTCCCACAGAGCAGTTTGAACTGTTGCTCTTTCAGTTACCGACATACCATCTCATACACTGTGCCTCTGGGACTCCTTGTTATTGTTTAATGTATGGTCAGGACCGACCCATAGCTGACCCTACAGTGAGTTTTCTGAAGCAGTTAATTGCACTGGAGGAGATTACCCATCCTCCTGCAGACCAGACAATGGATGGCCTCAAACAGCGTGCCTTTGGGATTGCAGTGCAACTTCTTGCCACTAGGCCACCAGAGCTCCCTAGCTCTCCGTAAGTAGGGAAAAATCTCAAAAAACTCAAACTCTAAAATCTCTGTAAATGTTCATTAAAATATTTTTTTTTAATTTTGGTTTGTTGTTGTTTTTAAATTTATTATTGATTTCAGTAAAAATTTTACAGAGACTTTGCATTTCCATTCATTCCTTATTGCACATTTCTCCCCTCCCAACCCTCCCCCCTAGTACACTACCCTCTTGGAAAAGTAAAAGACAAATTCTTTCATTGTTTTAGAAACCCTCCCCCATGTCCACTCCACCATGTAGCCTTCGCTCTAGACTCCTGTCATGACAAAAATAACTAATCACATATCCTTTTAAACAGTTTTCTCCCTCATCTGTTTCAGTGCAGTATACATTATTGAACCCATCTTTCTCAGTCTCCCCACAACCCCGATGTCAGTCCTGTTTTACAACAGTGGCACCGTGCAGTGTTTGTCCTTTTGTGATTGAGATATTTCACTCAGCATAATGTCCTCCAGGGTCACCCATTTTGAAGAATATCGCATGAGTTCCTTGTTTTTCAATGCAGCATAGTATTCCATTGTGTGAATATACCACAGCTTCTCTATCCATTTGTTTGTTGATGGGCACTTAGGTTGTTTCCAACTCCTTGCTACTCTGAACAGAGCTGCGATAAACATGGGTGTGCATATATCTGCTTGGATGTCAGTTTTGGTCTCTTTAGGGTATATTCCCAGTAGTGGAATTGCTGGGTCAAATGGTATCTCTATTTGCAACTTTTTGAGAAAGCACCATACCGCCTTCCACAGTGGTTGCACCATTTTACACTCCCACCAACAGTGAATAAGGGTTCTATTCTCTCCACAACCTCACCAGCATTTGTTGCTTCCTGTTCTGTTAAATTTTGCTCTTCTGACTGGGGTGAGATGATAACTCACAGTTGTTTTCATTAAAATAAATTAAAAAAAAAATAAATCTCAAACTCACTGGTGTTGAATTGGTTCCAACTCATAGTGACCCACCATTGGTTTTCCAGCACTGAAACCTTAATGGAAG